AAAAATATTTTATAATGTAAAATAATGTTTATTTAAATTTTTTTGTATACTAATTAGATATTAGTAATACAATTTTAAAATAAAAAAATAACTATATTTATTAAATTGACATTTTTTAAACAATTTTATAATAGATTTGTACTAATAATATCATACGGTATTTAAAAAATATATCATTTTATATATATAAATATATATATATATTTTCTTCCTTTTTTCAGTTAATAAAAAAAAATTAATTTTTTAAGTTATTTGAACTTAGCATAATAAATATTTCTTTTATGTTAAATGATATTGTCATTTTTATAATATATAAGAAGAAATTTCACTTTAATGAAAACAATTTCTTAAAGACACATGAAATCATAAAAGATTGATTGTAGAACGCAGCTATAGTTTCATGGCACACAGTTTGTAACTTTACGAATGGTTTTCAGCAGGTTTTGGGGAGTGTATTATCGACGTTTGGTATAAAGTACATAATTTGAAGTTTGAAATACGAAGTATTTCCAACACTAAAAGTATGTAAAAATTTTTTTCTTTGGTACTCTCCAATTGTTTATATAACTAAATTAGTTACTATTCTTACTTAAAAGAAATATCGAGTGTTATGTAATATCCATGTTATACTAATCTTAAATTCGTTTTCAAAATACAGATTTTTTAACCTGTTTTGGCACAATTCATGAAATATTGTACGATATATTAGATCTTCTTTTTCACTATTTTAAGGCATCTTTTTCTTCGTTATAATTTTTAATTATTATGTTAAAATTTAGTATAGAGATTTTATTAAAGTATGTCATATTGATTATAACTTGTATATCATGAACAAATAATAATAATATTAATGGTAATTAGTTATCTCAAAAATATTAGCTAGTAATAGGAATAGGAAAGTTTGATTGTAAATAATTTACTTTTATATTTAAATACTATCAATATAGCATATGGTTATAATATTACAAAAATTAATATTTCAGATGGCTACAGAGGGAAGATTACAAAAACCCCAACTTCGTGACATGCATATTACCAAAACTAAGAAGTCTCTAGTAATTGTAACAGCAATTGTCTCTGTAGTTGGTTTAGCTTATAAAATACTTGTTTCTGATGCATATGAAAAGAAAGTCGAAGATTTTTACAAGTAATTGAAGTATTTTAAAAATATAAATTTTTTTTTTATTTCTAATATAAATATTGTTATATTTCAGAACTTATAATGCAGAAGCATCATTGAAGCG